TTCCATTGGTGAAGCGAGTCCCCCATTTTGACATCCAGTTCTTAGAAGGGTGTGTTATCACCAAACTGCTGACGCATCCTGGTCGTGGCCTGACGTCTGGAGATGTCCAGATTGTAGTAGTCCAGCAACTATCACTCATCTTCACTGCTTTATTGTGGAAAGATCAGGAAAGGAAATTTAGAGCTAGCTAGCTCAGAAGATAGCCCATCGCGAGTACTTTCAGTATTGCGAAATCTCTATGCAAAATCACAACGCGTTGCGTAACGCGACGCTGTTTACAAATGGCCAACGAACTTTGTGGACACCCTAATAAAGAAATTTTTGAGAAAAGTTTGAAGTATACCAAAAAATCCAAGTTGCTTCGACGGCTCGACCGGAAATTTTATATTCAGATCAGAGTCAGGCACGTCCTGCTTGAAGAGACGGGGTCGGCGGAGTCACAGTCGAGTGCGTTTAGGAACATAGACCATGACGAAAGTAATCTGAGTGCCTGCTCTCGTTGCTATCACAGTCCAAACTGGAGTTCAACAAGGGCGTCTCGGGCTCCTATACATTTCTATGTTCTTCCTATGTTCCATCTGGACCCTCTCAGCAGCATAACTCGCATTCGCAGCTACGCTCTTTGTCGCCCTCAGATATGGACTACATGTTCTAGTCGACGAAACCATGATCCTATCACATTTCAGAGTACCGTAGTGATTCTCGTGCGTCAACGATTCCGGATCCAGTGGATCGACATGTGGCCAGATGGCGTAGCGAAAGCCGTAGCAGCAACAAAGTGTTCCGCAATGATGAAGAACCGAGCCAGCGTAAGTTTTGAATTGAAAAACGCTTTCATAATGTGGTTAAAGGGAAGATGCAGCTCAAAAAACAATACTTCGCCCTTGTTGAGCCCACCACCGCCACCACCACCACCACCACCACCACCAATAACGAAGCGTGCTTGATGAACTACCGAAACCTGTGGAATAATGCCTAATCAGGTGCTTAATGGTCGAAATTTATAACTGAATGTTTGACGAGTTCCCTCCTTCAAGCGTAGATTCCTGTTGCGAATATCGAATATACTAATCACTACGGTACTCTGAAATGTGATAGGATCATGGTTCGTCGACTAGAACATGTAGTCCATATCTGAGGGCGACAAAGAGCGTAGCTGCGAGCGCGGGTTAGCTGAGAGGGTCCAGATGGAACATAGGCAGAGAAGCATGTACAGGAGCGGCGAATCGGTGATAGAACTATGCCGGGACGCCCTTGTTGAACTCCACTTTGGACTGCGGTAGTAACGAGCAGGCCTTCCGATTACTCTCCGTCACGGTCTATGTCTCTCAACGGACTCGACTACGACTCCGCCGTCACCGTTTCTTCAAGCAGGATCTGCCTGAATCTGATCCATGAATATACAGTCCGGTAGAGGTCAGAACTAACTTCTAAAAAGCCGGAATTTTTTTTGGTATACTTCAAACTTTTCTTTTCCTAGTAGCTTCAACTCAATCTTGGTCATGAGAATGGAAGGGAGCGAAATTTCAGGATCAAATGTCGAAAATGGAATGAGGAGATGGCGCATACGGGTCTATTAGTCTTCTTATGACTACAAAACGCAAAGTAGCGATCAGCCAGAAGAAGTTCGGGATATGTGACAGGACAACCGTAATTTCCGCACTGGTGGACATCGCATGAGAAGTAGCGCCCACAAATCACCATATTTCTAGGTCGTTGATGGCGACAATAAACAATGTATACCCAAAATGGCCATAAATAACTCCAATGGCTTGATATATGCGAAATGGTGCCCCAATCAAAGGCTTATGAAAATTATGATAGCGCCGCGCATCGCCGCGCGCGACGGAGCGGCAAACTATCGACCCTCTCCCAGAAATTCGAGCTACTTATACCCATTTTCCGAGCCTTGCTTTTCAGAGCTCACATTTGATTTCTATCTATTATTTGGCCCTGAGCAGCATATTTTAAAAAAGAAAATGTACTTGTGATGGAGGATAAGCTTGCCTAATCGCAGAGGGAAGGTTGGCTGGTCCCGAATATGCGCTTTCCCGTTTTCATTCACCTTTGGGTGTTCCTTAATTTGCATGCAGGCATCGGAAAGCCTTTGAACACCAAATAATATGATTCTATTGTTTACTTCCACTCATACTTGTAGTGGCGAATTGTGGGGGCAATTGGGATTCGAGATTCGAACCTTGGAAGTGCTTCCCCTTTCCTTACACCAAATGCGCCTGTTCAGGGTGGGCCAGATCAGGGTTTCAAGCACATGAATCTATCACAAACTAGGGCCATTCTAGAGGATGGGAGGAGAGAGAGTGATGAGAGGCTTGGTTTACCCAATGCGCTCGGTTCTGGGATTCTATTTGCGTACCACGCATATGGTAGTGACGCCCCCCGTCATTGCCCCAACTCTGTTTCCCCGCTTCTAATATGTCTCTTGAGCCTTCAATATCTAGTGCGTTACCGTTTTTGAGCAGAAAACGCTCCATATGCAATAGTAAATGCTTTATAGTGACACTGAAGGAAAGGATAAAGAAAAAGAATTTTGAAAGACAGTTGGGTAATGGAACTTACGTGGTTCCTGTGTCTGACGTGATTCCGAACGCCAGTGGTAGCTGTGTGTCGAGACCGGTGACACAGCAGTCATCTTACTGGAATTAGAAAAAATTGTTCACGATTTTTTAGAGAATCCACCCAATGCAAATATTCGTTGAGGAGAGGAATGCTGACAAAAAGGATCAGTGGGATGAAAAGTTTGACCCGCGATCTTGTTCATATAATTTTCCATGATTGAGCGATGTCATCTGATAAAGAATGATAACATGTGATAATGCCATCACCCGATAGAATTCCGTGA